CAGTCACCAATTAACAAGCATTTTCAACAAATTATGGAAGAGTAAAAGCAGATAACAGCAGGTCACTGGCCAAATGGCTGCCAGTAATACATAATACACAGTATAACAGGTTAATTTCAAACTTTACACATTCCCACTCCTGTCTGAGAGCACAACAGCCAGTATTTATGTCCAGGAAAACACACATGCTCCCAAATTATTCTCATAAGAAATGAAAAAAAAAAAATTCCCTGAGAGTGTTAAGTTCTGGTACCTGAAACCCTTATTTTTCTAGGTATATAACCTTTATTTTATCATATGTGTTTCTTTATGTAAGAAATCTTCTCCTTCAAGTCATGCAAGAGTTATGGTAATAAATTCTTAGAGCAGCAAATGTAATCCTAGCACACTACTTCCTCTCTCTTCTCTAACACTCTGTTACTTCCTCCCTCAACATCCCTTCTAGCTTTGGCCCTGCTTCCACTTTCACGGAGAAAATGGGACAACGAGATGACATCAACCCACCCACGAACATCTGTGTCCATGTGTTTTGCCTTCACTGTTAGTACAATGGAATGATAAACCCTACAAAGGCCAGCCTCTCCACCTGCACACAGAATTCATCCTCTCTCCCCTACTCAGTGATATTTCTCAACAATTCTCTTTTGTCTCTCTCACATCATCAAATTTCCTCTCCCTGCTGGATCTTTCCCATCATAGAAAAAACATGCTGACTCCACTACCCCCGTGCAGGTACGTAAAACCTTTCTTGGCCCTAATTCCACCTCCAGTTGTTACCCTATTTCTCTCCTCTCCTTTACAGCAAAACTCAACAAAGCAGCTGTCTATATATTCTTGTCCAAACACTCTCTACTCATTTTTCCTAAATCTAATCCAAACAGGTTTTGTCTCCCACCACTGCATGAAAAAGCTCTTGTCAAGATCTTTCTCATTGCTAAATTCACTGTCCAAATCTCAGTCCTTATTTATCTTGAACTCTCAGTAGCACTGGCTATAGATTACTCTTCTCATTGAAACACTTATTTCCAGTACCTTTTGCTTTTTGCCTTCCTTCCTAGATAATTCTTTATAGTCTATCTTTTTGATCACCCCAACATCTTAACATGAGGGACCTCCAGGTCTCAGTTCTTGGATCTATTCTCTTCTTTAACTATACTCACTCTTCGGTGATTTCATTCATTTCATTGAATTCAGTCAGTAGCTTTAAAATATTGTCCATATACTGAAAATGTATGTCTTGAATCCACACCTCTCCCTTAAACTCTCTATTTGTATTTTCACTCTCTACTTGACTTTGCCACTTAAATGTTCAATGGGCACCTCAAATTCAACATGTCTAAAATTGAGCTCACAATCTTTCCCCTAAATCCGCTTCTCCCTATTCCCAGCATCAGTTAATAGTATGACTATCTTTCCAGTCTCTCAAACTAAAACTTTCCATTAATCCTTTAGTCTTCTCATCATCTAAGTTCTCAGTAAATCCTTTTGGCACTGTCTTCAAAATGGCATCCTAAGTCTAATCATTCTGACCAGCTCCACCCCTACGACCTTAACATAAGCTTCTGTCCTTTAAACTCTATTACTGCACTAACCTTCTAGAGTAACTGCTCTTTACTTCCTCTCTTCTACCTATACTTGATTCTCAACATCGCAGCCAAAATGACAATGTCAAAATATGTCAGATCATATCATTCTGCTCACAATTCCCCATCAAATTCTTTTTTCTCTTAGAGTAAACCATGTAAGGCCCTATACGAACTACTTCTCTGAACACATCTCCTACTACTCTCTCCCTGCTGAAACACACTATGTGTACACTTGTCTTAGGACATATATAATGGATTTTTCTTCTGCCTGGAGATTTCTGTCTTTCAGATGTCCCCACAGTTTGTTGACCCCCACATCCTACAAATCTTTGCTTGAAAGTCCCCTGATCAGGAAGGCCTCGCCTGCTGAGCCTTATGTAACATTGCAACCTTGCCCAACCTGGAAAGCCCTATCCACTTTCTCTGTATCATGTTTCTCTATAGCACCTCCCACCTTCTAATATATTACCTAGTTATTTTAAGTTATGCATATATTGCCATGATGATTCATAAAATATAATACCATTGTTTCTCCAAGGCCAAGATTTGTTGAAAAAAATATTATATGAAGATGCTCTTTTAGAACTCTTAGATATGAATTGCACCTCTGGGCTGGGCAATAAAGATGAATTGCAATTGTCCAACTGTTAGCTTTTGCTTTTAGATTTTTCTTTGTTTTGACTTAGTTCTGTGTGTGATAACATCATTTATTGATGTTTTACTATTTTTATCTGCCTTATATTTTTTATCTGCCTCCATTTCATGCAAGAAGTCTAGTCCTTGGAGGCTCCTTTGCCTCTGAATATCTTACAATTTTAAGAATTATCCTGAATAATACTTCCATTTTTTATTTTATTTTTCTACACTGTGCCATTGAAGAGTTTATGCTAGGTTATCTGGAATGGAAAGAAAGAGGATGAAATACTTTCAAGAATGAGCAAGGAGTAGAAGAGAGTCCACCGTACTGACATATTAAGGAAGAAATTTGTGCCAGTTAGTAGGGAAACCTGCTTCCCATCAGCTCTTGGTAAGTAGTAAGACCACAACCATGGACTCACTGAAAATGTACTGGGGTAGTAGTGGCTGCTCTGGGGCTTTAGCTTTAGCAAATATGCCCATTTTTCACAGACAACTTGCGACAGGGGGAGACCTTAATTCAAGGAACTATTATCAGTATGAACAATGAGGATGTCAGAAATGGCCATGATGAATGAGAAGTTTAAGTCTGCATGAAACATTCCAGATACTGGTGCGATTTTGTGGAGAAGGACCCCCTATTATACCTAAGGTGGGTACCCCTACCAGCCCATCATGTTGGAGATTCAAAGTCAGATTCAATTTAAGAAAATCAAGAACCCAGATGTTTCTTGCACACCTGCATTTGTAGAAAAAGATCCACAACTGCTCCTTAGGTTTTCTTTTACCAGTTTTTCAGAATGTAGGCTTATAGCATCTGAGGTACAAGGTGTTTGAGTAATATTGTGATGCTGAGTCATTTGAAATATCAGTGAGGATTTGATGGCTTTGCATTGTGTATTGATTATGTAAGTAGAAATTAAGAGCATTTTAACCTATAATTATTTTCTCATATAAAAATTTCCAATTCATATAATTTTAATTAAAATAGTAAAGTTCAGATACCTCTCTTAGACCTAGGATAATGCTAGCAATGCATTTTTCTAGGCGTTGTCAAAATTGTCCAATACCATCACAAAACCCCCAGGTCCAGTGCACTCCTTGTTTTCCAGACTTGATCTTCTTTAGTCTTTTTCAACGGAGTAGAATCAGGTTCAAATCATGTCATAACAAATCACCCCTGTATACAGTACGCTTCAAGGGCTTCTCATTTCATTCTGCCTGAAAGCCCAGATCCCTGCAACGGCACAGGAGGCCCTGTGTGATCTAGGACACCATGGTCCTTCCTAGCCCATCTCCCACTCCCTCCCCCGTAGCTCATTCTGCTCCAGCTCTTCTGTCTCTTTGCGCTTGTCAAATACACTAGGCATGTTTCTACCTAAGCACCTTTGAAACCTCCTTTCCCATAAAACCACATATCCAGCTCTACTATCTACTAATCTGTGATTCAGAGCAAATCGGTTACCTTTCTGAGCCTTATTTTCCCATCTATATAATGAGAAAAATAACAATACTTACCCTAAAGCATTGTTGTGAGTATTAAATGAGTTAACATATGTAAAGTGCTGAGAACAGCATGTGGCACAGAGGGAATGCTGCAGAAGCATTCCACAGTGTAATTTGTACCAAAAGCCCCAGCGGGTTTTCTGGATCACCTGATCACCCTTTATAAAACAAAGCTTGAGAGCATTTGTGAGGCACTTCTATACACTTTCTGAATTCTAAAGTATGAATTAATTTGGCTCTTGATGGTAGAAATAATTCTTAATGTAAATTATACTTGCTTACAGAATTGTTTCTCCTAAACTACTGAAACATTTTCAACAAAGTCATTTACAGTGAACCCTATGTTCTCTAATGTGTGACACGAACACGTACTTATCATTACTGCACGTTCACACATACGGTGAGGCCTCTGCAACACAGAAATACCTGACGTGCCTTCTAGGTCATTGAGAAACATGACCTAGAATTATCTTTCATGTACATTTAGAAGTAAATGTATTTTACTGTGGACTTAGTCATTTGGAAATTGGATACAGCACAAGGAGGTAAAACAGTTTAAATGTGAAGCTGGAATACTTGGGTTCGTATATTAGCTCTAAAACTCTTCTGCTCTGTATAGATGAGTAAGTAGGTTACTTATCCATCCTAAGACTTACTTTTCTCGGCTCTGAAATAGGAGATAATGCTTACTAAATTTGCTTTTCAGAGCTGTTGTGAGAATTAAATGAAATGTGAATTAAGATGTGTTTTTACAATCTATACTTTAATAAAAATGGTAATCATGTTCAGTATTTATCATGTGCCATGTGCTATGCTAAATGGTTTACATAAATTATCTTAATCTCAGAAAAATACTTACTTCATTGTATGTACTTTGGTCATCTTCATTGTTAGGTAAAACTGAATCTTAAAGATACTTCAAGTAACTTGCAATTTAAAGAAATATTAAAACTTCTGCACATTAGCATTCTTTCCAAAATGTGTGATTGATCATGATAGTCATTATCAAATTATATTAGATATTGCAAAATTCACTATATTTGGTATAATACATATTGTGAAATAACTAAAACTCATCAGCATATATAATTATAACTTTTGTTTAGATTTTTACTTGAATTAAGTGTACCAACTGCCCTATAGCAACATGGCATAAAAGATTTTTTTGACCTTTACATTGAGGCTTTAATATGTAATGAATGTGTTAAAATGTCTTCCCCTTTTGTGAGAAAGTAGAAGAGCTGGTTTTAAAATGTTTCTTTCAGATACACTGTTCAGAATTAATCACAAGGTCGCTAAGAATTTAATAATGTCTTTCATGTTGAATATTTATATGCAAAATAGAAGTACAGTTTACTATAGCCAATATTATACATACTCTGTGCAGTATAATTCATTGAATGAAGGAGAAGAAAGGATTAAAAAACAAAGAAATACCCTTTTCCGAGTCTTCTCCTTAAGGAAAGGTCGGATCACGGTGTACAGGGCATGGATATACCACGGCTGATTAACAAAATGAATTCCTCCAAATCGTGCTGGGAAACTATCCTAGAGTAACATGGAGAAAACAAAAATCAAAACATGCTTTAATATATGAGAAGGTTTAGGGAAGGTTATATAGTATGAAAATTTGTTGTTCCACACACTCAATTGAGATTATCTGTATAGTTAAAGAGAAGAAGGAAGAAGAAAGAATCTTAGAATATTAAACATTATAAATTTCATACAGTAACTGAAGCAATGTGTAATAAAGCAAATCCTTCTCAAGAAAAAGGTTATTGTAAGAATTTCAGTATTTTTAAGAGGGTTGTATTTTAAGCCTGCAAACTGTTAATTGTCATCGAAAGCCAAGGAACAAAAATAAAGGTTATTAGAGATTTGTCAAATAAAGTATTTATGTTGAATAAATGTTTATTTAAATTATTTATATTTATTTAAAATATGTTTAAATTAGAAAATTTTATTAAATTCCAATACAGTCATCTATAATGTGAGCAATGTCAGATATCAAAACTCACTTTGTTTTCTTTTTATCTTTTTATCAACTTCGTTATAAACATTCTCCTTTCCTTATTTTAACTACAAAAAGGGAAACATGCTTAAGCAAAATAAAAACCTAGAATTGTAAGAAACCTGGAGATTTTTTTTGCTAGCTTAAATGAAAATCAAAAGACTCTGAGCTCGCCCCACAGGAGGAAAATGGAACTATCATAATGCCATTCTCCTCAAGCAAGAACTCACCTTGTGTAAGCTCTGAATCTGAAGTGATGCAGAAAGGTATTTTCTCCCTACCCTTGATTAAACAGGTGCATCCCCTAGCCCACTCCAAAATGTAAAGGAATCCTTAAGCCAAATGTATGGCAACATTTGACACTGTACTTGAGTATGTCCAGAATCTACAAAGAACTCAAGCAAATCAGCAATAAAAAAAAATCAAAAAACTCTATTAAAAAGTGGGCAAAAGGCATGAACAGAAGCTTTTCAAAAGAAGATAGACTAATGGCCTATAAACATATGAAAAAATGCTCAACATCACTCATCATCTGAGAAATGCAAATCAAAACCAGAATGAGAGATTACCTAACCCCAGTCAGAATGGCTCTTATCAAAAAGTCCCAAAACAGATTCTGGCATGGACGCCGGGAGATAGGAACACTTACTTATACACTGTTGGTGGGACTGCAAACCAGTGCAACTTCTATGGAGATTCCTCAAAGAACTAAGAGTAGACCTACCATTTCATCCAGCAATCCCACTACTGGATATTTACCCAAAGGAAAAAAAGTTACTTTATCAAAAAGACACCTGCACTAGAATGTTTGCTGCCGAACAATTGACAATGGCAAAGATGTGGAATCAACCCAAGTTCCCATAAATACATGAATGGATTAATAAAATGTGTTGTATGTATACCATGGAGTACTACTGAGCCATTAAAAAAATTAACAGCTTTTGCAACAATCTGGATGGAACTGGAGACCATTCTTCTAAGTGAAATATCTAAAGAATGGAAAAACAAATACCACATGTACTCACTATTAAATTGGAACTAACCGATCCACACTCATGTGTACAGATGGAAGTAAAACTCAACAGAAATTGTGCAGGTGAGAGGCGGGAGGAGGGGAGGGGTGAAATCATACCTAACGGGTACAATGTACACTACCTGCCTGATGGGCACACTTATAATTTTGACTCAAACAGTACAAAAGCAATCCATGTAACCAAAATACATTTGTACATCCGTAATATTCTGAAATCTTAAAATATAAATAAACTAAAATAAAAAAAGAATTCCACATAAATGGACCTGATTATTGCTACTGGTTCAAAATTCCACATTGAACTGACTACAAAGGTCTGCTTAAAAAAAAAATAAATAAACCACTAGAAGTCTCTCCAGTGGCATCATAATACTTTGCAGTCTTCTGGATTCTATTTAGAGCATGTGCAGGAACAAAAGAAAAGTAAAGGAGCTGAAATAATTGTAGGTTTTTTTTAAAATTTAAATGTTCCCTTGAATAAGAGGTCTGGTCAAAAACATTCATGGCATAACTCCATTAAAATATTTTGTTTTCATTTGGAACACTTATGAGCTTTACTAAATTAACTTAGTATTTTTGCACATTGATTTGCGGAGCTGCTGAACAGTATTTTGCAAAGTACTTTTTGTCTCTGAGAATAGATCACTATACTGTAAGAGTACTTGAAAAAATAAATTAGTATAGCTGAAGGTAGAACTTTTCACCCTTTATGCCAGTGTCTTATTTCTTTTATAAACATGTAGTTTTCATTCATCAAGAGTTTATTACAATAATAAAAATGAATCAGACAGAAATGCATAGAACGTTTTTACATCATAAAATGTTTATACTTGAAGATAAATAATGTACATATAAGCAAAGAGAATACTAAGACAAACACCCAGGTATTTTATTATTATTATTATTATTATTTTTCCACCTGAATATGGGAGGACAGAGAGTTTGCTTAAGGATTTCCTGTCCAGCAGGAATTTTCCTAGCACAACCTTCCTTAAGGGTGTAGAGCCTGGAGGAGCGCAGGGTCTCACTTCCACACCCCCACTCGTCCTCAATGTGTGCAAGCCTAGTGTTGCTCCTGAGCACCCCACACCCCAAGCAACCAATATTCTCTAAAGTTTTAGATTCATGCAATTAACACTTGCCTCCAGAGCCGCCCAGCCTTCACTCACCCTCCTGTCTTTTTTTTCCCTATAGATTTCTGTGTGTGCTTGACTCAGAGAGACTTGTCTCATGTTCCTGAGAGTTCAGCAATGCACCTGGAAATATTTTTGTTGTGAGGGAGCCAACATCTTGGTACTTCATAGTAGGAAAATCTTTAAGAATTTTTAACCTGTTGTACTGCCTAAAGCAGAACTATTTAATATGCTTTTAAAATATATTCCTGAATGAGCTTTTGATCTTTAGAACAAAACTGAATGAACACCAACCATCAAAGCTATTAAGCAGAAAGTGTTAGTCCAAGTGATTGATTCTTAAACCTTGAGAATCATAGGAAGCCACGTTTGTTCTCTCCTGAAAAACTGAATATACACACACATACACACAACTTGTACACAATGCCATGGGCTTTCTTGGACACATCTTTAAATATGCAATGGCTTGATCGGTACCAAATCATAGTTGAGGCATAGTGAAAGAGCAGGGAAAGCCTTGACTTTGCAACCAATAGACCTAGCTTAAAATTCTGACTTAATGCCATATCTCAAGAATCAAAGTCCAAAACAAGGACAGAATCCTTGATTAATTTTTTTTCCTTACCGTGATCTTCTTCATTTTCAATTATGTCCCAAGTCTTGCAATATTTACCCCCCGTCTCTGTGGAGTTTCATATTCACTCTCTACATGATGCCAATGTGATCCCAGTAAAATCCAAAACCCACTATCTCTACCGCATGTCACCTCCCTGCATCTCCTTTATGTCTGTGGTTGCCACAACGTCTTTCAGCTTGTTGACTTTGTTCTCTCCCATATGCCTGCCATAGCCTTCCCTCCCTTTTTGTAAGATCTACTCTTTTGTTGTTGTTGTTGTTGAGACAAAGTCTCCACTCTTTTTCCTGGGCTAGAGTGCAGTGACGTTATCATAGCTCACTGCAACCTCAAACTCCTGGGCTCAAGTGATCCTCCTGCCTCAGCCTCCCGAGTAGCTGGGACTATATGTGCATGCCACCACACTCAACTAATTTTTTCTATTTTTAGTGGAGAGGAGGTCTCGCTCTTGCTCAGGTTGGTCTCGAACTCCTGAGCTCAAGCAATCCTACCACCCTGGCCTCCCAGAGTGCTAGGATTACCGGTGTGAGCCACCACACCCAGCCCAATCTATTTTTACTAATCCCTTAAGACTTATATCTAGGAACATCATCTCCAGGAAGCTTCTTGTGAGCCCTTCTCTCACTTCTCCTTACCCACAGAAGCCCATTCTGTGCCTTCACCAGCACAGCACTAGAGTCTGTCACTGCACTTTGTCACATCACCCTGAATTTGTCTTTCATTTGTCTGCCTCTACTGCTAAACAGTGAGCTCTATGAGTGCAGAAGTTGTGTGTTCTATATGGTCTAGTGGAGCCTGGCCTGGAATCCTTTTCCACTCATGTCATACCCCACTCTACAGGGCAGAGGATGGAAGGTTAAGCATATGATAGTTCTGCCAATGTGATACACCTGGGCAAGATTTCAAGGCCCAACAGGAGAGATTGTTTTCAGCAGTCAGTCTCCGGACTCTACCTTCCTCTTTCTAGGTTTCACTTGGGAGGTGAGTGGCCTCTGGGATAGCAGCAGCAAAGATGGACGTAATAGTTTCTTGGCCACTGAATCACATCCACAGCGGTCTGACCAAGGGTTCAGCAACAGTCCCCTCCCAAATTCCACTGCTCCAGCTCTTCCGATGAGGCTATAAACACTAACTGCCTGTACTAAAGCCATTTGTTCTTAAATCATCCAGAGAGATTTCTCTTTTGTGTACTGAACTGAGCCAGACTGTACCTGATTCACCTTTATATTCCTAGCATTTCAAAAACATACGTGTGTTTGTCCCAGAGCAGAGCTAGATGAATGTTTATTGAATAGACTCTGATATTTATAATTTAAGAGAACTATTTATCTTCTTTGAGCCACAATTTCTTAATCTGTAAAATGGAAACAACATTTAATGGGACTGCTGATACCTAACAATATCCATTAATTATTGAGCACACATTCTAGATACAGGGCTATTATGTTAACCACAAGCCACCCCACTTTACAAGCGTGGAAATGACCATCAAGGTAATTTTATAGTGTGGTTTAACTGGTAATCATTTGGCCCTAAATAGCACTACAAAGTAACTATCAAAATGACAACATACAATATGCCAATCGTTGACACTGTTGGCCACACCAGTCTTCACTGGAGACAATAAAATAGAAAGTTCCTGGCAATCAGTGAGAGTACAGCCAAGACGGGATGAAGAGAGGTAATAGAATTCCTACCTTCCAAAAGCTTTTGCCAATTCACTTGCTCACATTCTTT